TGGCCACAGCCTACACTAGGGGGCACTAGACCAGGCAAAGTGTGGCCCCAGGCTTAAGGGTGAATAGAGGGCTCGCTTTAGCCCAAGCTAGAGATTGGCACTGGCTTTTCCGTTTCTAAAAAGAAGAAAAGTCCCCAGTTGAATGAAATTTTAAAGGCATTCTACCTGGCCCCTTTGAGAAATTAAAATTCTTCTCATACATGTACACTAATACATACACAGACACAAACTTGTGCCCAGTTGCTTGCCAAGAGTATGCTGCTTTTATTTAAAAGGTAGTATTTTCCTGAGGATGCTTGGCTGCATTTTTGAGTGGGGAAAAATGCCCACCAAATAAATTCCAGGTTCACAGCTCAATTGCTCTCTGCAGGGAATTGCTAGGGAATGCTTTGGAAACCTGACCCTTTGTCAAAGTGAAAACTTCTATGCTTCATTTGACAAGATCATGAAGTTCTCTCAGTGGAGGGCGGCCCATTTCTTATTCATGCCTTTCTTGGGTACCTTCATATTTCCTTCCTCCAGTCCCCCTGGGTCCCCCATACCTGCTCCAGACAACCTACAGTTCATATAGCCATTACTTATTTGCCTGGCTGTGTCCTCACTAGGCTGGTGACAACTAGATTCTGGGGAGAGCGTCATAGCTTTGAATTCTCAGGGACCAGGATGGTGCAGGGCACTTAGTAGGAACACATGGTGACCTGTTGGTTGAATGAATGAATCTGGCTTATCTTTGCCTCCTATGCACAGAGTTTAAATAGTTCAAGGACACCATAAATTTGGGTCACCATCTTTCTTCCAGAGTATGTATAGTGACTCAGCTTTCTAAATGAAGCTATCTTCAGCCCTTCAGCATCTTCAGCAGATATCTACATTTTTGTGAGCTTATATGTGCTTAGAAATTCTTTCTTGACCATCAGGAAGTTTGGAAAGAAACTTGGATATCAAGGAGAAGAAAGTGGATACCCTCATCCTTCTACCTCCCACAGGCCCTGGGGGCTTCTGCCATGGGTTTGCATTCAGCAGCTTCTCTAAGCCCATCTCAGAGGAGCAGAAGCTGAGGGACAGAGGAATATTCATCTGTAGGCTTTTTGGGACTGGGGATGAGGCAGCAGCAGAAGAAACAACGTTAACCCAGCTTGCATTGTGAAGAACAACTTGCTCACATTTCAATGACCTCCTTTGAGAAATTAAAATTCTTAGCAAGCATGCTGGGAAGTGCACCACCTAGCCCTTCCTCCCTCAGCAGACACTGTACCACTCATTATGCTTGCAAGTGGCAAAGTAAAGTGGCAAGATCTTCATATTTGAGCATTGCCACCTGGAACAAAGAAATGCCCTTTCTCTATAACCTGTTGGCAATTGAATCACCAAAATAAACAGGAATATGTTCCCAGTAGGGAAAAACATCAAAACATCAGCAGACTCAGCGTTTCTGCATCTGGATACAAGTGAAGGGCATAATTAAAGACCTTTGGCACAGTGTCTCTCCTCTGTGCTGGTGTCCAGAACACTGAACCATAAAAGTCTTTGTTGAGGCCTCTAACTCCTAGATGGAGAGCGGGTCAGGGAAAGGACCTAGCCTTTCTTCTTTATATCCTTGGAGCCCAGTATAATGCCTGGCACAGAGTAATCGCACAGCCCCCATCTGCTTGGTGTGTGGCTGGTGATGTAGGGGAGGGTGGTATGATTGGGAACCTGTCTACTAAACTCCAGAATAGGTGAGCTTTAATTCCCTCATCAAAACAAAGAGTAAAGTGGTTTCCAGTTCTAGCATTCTTTTGTCTTCTGATGCAAGGAGGTTATACAAGTGGAAAATACAGGTTTAAGAGGAGTTCATAAAATTGTGTAGATGAGACATTGATGTATGGTAACACGTTATTTCACAAAACCTCCTCTGGGGCTGGACGGAACATTGGACAGGCCCCAAGGGGCAACTTTTATGTTCAAGGTACACACTGGACTAAGATGAAAGGATTCATAGGAACGTTAACAGTGTGATCCGCAAAGCAAAGTTAGACTCAAGCAGCCTGTCTCCTGGGATTTTAACTACCTAAGTGAACTCTTATCTTGCAAACAGCATTTGGGTCAGTAAGTGTCCCCAGGAATGCTTTATTGGAGACACTGGCAATAATCTTCTGGGGAGAGGAAGGAGATGAAAGCTGGTATGGGGAAGGACGCTGTCACAGAGATTTTGGGGGCAGTGACTCTCAGATGGGGATGTGGAAGTTTTGCCTTCTCTGTGTGTGCTCCTTGGAGATCTACAGAAAGAAGAGCTCTCCAGTGTCAAATGCAGAACTAACCCAAGCAGCAATCATAACCAACCACTCCATGAGCTACAAAGAGAAGACTTAGCCTGCCCTTCACTCTGCTCCCTGTTTAATTCTATCTGAGCAAAAGTTCAGGGCAAGTGGAAGTGAAAAGAAGGCAGATGGAAGGCTTGGTCCTCACATTCTCCCCAGGTCTGGGAACAATTCTGAGCCTGGATCATTCAGTGCTGTGTCTGTAGGTCAGCTCGCTGGGCTGGCTGCCCCAGGTCTGGACAGTTTGGCCACCACCTTCCTGACCCCCCAAACTACCACTTAAATGTTCCTTCTCTTTCTTTTCAGTTCATGGTTACAGAGTTTGCGATACTTGACTTTCTCTGCACTATGAACATCCACAAGGAGAGACTGTTCTATGACAAATCCTTCTCTTATTTACAGCTTTGCCCTCAGAATCCATTGACAGAGCAGATGGCGAACCAAGGATATCAGTCAAATACTGGCAGGATCAACTCAGCTCCACATGAGATGTGTGGAATAACCAGGCCAAGGAAGGCTACAGGTAAAGGACAGAACTTTAGATGTAAGAGACCCAGGTTGAGCTGCGGCTGCATGACCAACCAGATGGTTCCAGAACCACACAGTCACAGCTTGACATCTGTGAAAGGAGCCCTGAACCCATCACCTTTGCTGTGTGTTGTATGGATCAAGTGAAAGTATACATGGGAGTGGGTTGTACAACAGTAGAGCCTTCTGCAAATGCCTGTTTAAGAGATGCCCTCTACTAGTGCCTTCTCCAGAAACACGCACACACCCCCAAGAGTATCAATGTATTTATTATTTCAGGGGCGTCTGGTTCTCTCTTGACAGTGGATAATGCCAGGAGGGAAGGAATGGGAGGTGGGAGGATATACACGGCAAGAAGGAATTCACTTCCTCTTCTTTGAACAGAAGCTTCTTTGAAGCTTGAAGCCATGACCTTGAAGCTTTTGTGATATATCATAGATGCGTGGGCTGCACTCCAGTGGTGCTTTTCCAGCAAAAGACTTGGAATTATTTCGCAAAGTTCTATTCATTTTGTTCCTTAATAAATGTCATTGGAGCCATTATTATGGCCCCATAACAGAATGTGAGCCAGTGAATGCCCCTCTCTGGAAATAACGTCAGACAGACTTAATTTAAAAGCCTCTCCAGTGCCTAGGACAGTGCCAGACATGTGGCAGCCATTCTATACATTCTTATTTGGTAAGAGAATAGTGGAATAATTGAATTAACTTTTTCCTGATGGTTGATCCAAATCCTGTCAATTTACTTAAACATGCACTAGTTCATTTAGCCAAGTCCCAAGAGAGAAGTTCTAGCCCAGTACAGCCTAGAACCTGCTCCTCACTTTCGAAAGAGGATGTGTTCCAAAGCAGACCACCAACTAGACCAGCTGTCTCAGAAATCACGTGGGCTTAAAAATGTTCAGATTTGCTATGGCAGGGCATATCGTTCATAAATAATTTTTTGATGGTAATACATTCAGACCCTAACAAAAAAGAACTTAGCATACACATTCAGTAATCAGCCTGGTGATTGATTGAAATCAGCAGAAAGCAAACATGTTTTAGAATGTCTGAAAGGTCAGCGAAGTACCTAAGTTTAATATAAATGTGGGGTTTTTAATGATTAAAAAAAGGGAAAGCCCACATACCTTACCTTTGCACCTATAAGCCTGTGGTTTGCATAACCTAAATTTAACCCAGTTTTAGTTTTCTGCATCTAACACCTTCTTAATTATTCATTTCCACTCTA